TCCGTCTCAAAAAAAAAAAAAAAAAAAAGTTTAGAATTATTTGCTTATTATTCATCAGTCCAACACACTGTATCTACAATTAATACTACCTGTATCATATCTTTGCCAAAAAACATTTTATATGTACCAAAATTCTATTTACTATGGGCACAGGAGGTCATTTCTAGAAACAGACTTAGAGAGACAGCCTCAAGTCAATCTATGGTTGATTTCCTTGGCGAGGATAAGACTCAAATTGCTATTCAAATCTCATGTAGGTGAAGGGGGTCAAGCTATTGCTTAAAAGCTTTCTTTTATATTATTGTCACTAATTAGGAAGAAAGTCTACTTGGATCCCTAAATCCATTTTCACTACAAAAAATAATTATTTTTTAAATTCAAATTTTAAAGATGGAAGATCAATAATGACACACTGGTGTGTATTAATTCTATTATATTTTAAAATATGCTGATAAGTAATGGTTTTGTACCTAGGAGAGGGTCTCAAGGCCCCCAGGTCCCCAAGTCCTAGCCCCAGTAGGTGCTCAATAATTATTGCTGAATGGATGAAGGTGAAAACGGCTCTGGGACATCTGGAGTTTCACCAACTTTGTAAAAGACAACTATGCATTAACAACAGAGCCAACTGACTTCTATCAAACCTCCTACTCCAGGCTTCCTAAGGAAGATCCTTTTCCATCCCAATTAACTACATATAAGTAAACACCTTTCTCCAGCCCTTCAGACTTAGATCAAACCATGCTTCTTTTTGGCCCTACCTCCAACTAGCTTCTATTTTCTCACCAGTCCAGCACACCTGACTTACCCTTTCCTCTACAGTTGGTTCAGAATCTGTAAGTCAATCATGAATTTGACACATTTTAAAGCAACATCTTTTCCTCCATGGGGAATAGGATTCCCATAATGTCAAAATATAATTTAAGGAGGGCATATTTCTTCACAGGACTCTCTAGCTTACTTTCTAGGAAGGTAAAACTCTGACTCTGTGTGCTCTGCACACCCAAACCATCAATTTGCCCTTGAAAAATATTTGCTGTCATATAGGGAAGTCAATATTCTTTGCATTCCGGGAGAGTGAACGGATCCAACTTATATATTCACTCTACTTGATTGTATACATTTATTTTCTCAAAAAGTTTCTCTATGAAATTTACTGAGCTTTTACACAATCGACTTATTCCAGTAAAGAGTTAATAGTTAGAACCTTGATAAGATGAGTCATTGCGTCTTTAAAAAACACCAGATCTAAACTTGTTCCCCTAATGATTTCATTGAACTGTCTCTGGTAAAACTGGAGTTTCTCAGACAGAAAGTCAAAGGATGGTACCTATGGGTGGGGAGAGAAAAAAAAATATATATATATATAAGATCCAAATATTTATTAAAGTAGCAATTGTAAAGACACATAAAAGTGACTCTAAAAAATGAGAATTTCCAGAAGTGTGTCATACGTTGGTCTACTTTTAGCTATTTTCATTGTTAGAGGCCTGAAACTTAACCGCACTAGTCGGTTTCCAATACAAAATCATTCTGACATTTCCCTTCAAGAGGCTCAGCACCTACTCTCATCCATGGTAACCAACAAGTGTGACAATATTTATTTCAGTTTTTATTTGCTTTTAAAAAATTGTTTATGGTTTTTGAAAAAGATATAGAAGTTTAACCTTATTTGTGTAGTCAATTCCATGAGTCTTTGTTGTTCCAGAAGAAAATACCCACTTTCTTTGTTTGGCAAATTGCTTCTCCCCATTCAATTCTTTGATCTACATGTACTGTGGTACTACTTTATTATGTCACCCTATTTTTTAAAAAATCCCTTTGGAATCCTCTTTCAAATTTCATTAAATTTACACATTGATTTAGAAAGAATGATGTGTTACTGTTTACTCAAGTAAACTTTTTAACACTTTAATTCCTAGATAATTTATAGTTGCTGTTAAATATGTTTATGTTACATTTTCTGTCTGGTGAATATGGGTAAGGGTTAGAAGACTTTTTCTATACAGGGTAAGATGATAAATATCATAGGCTTGGCTGGACATACAGTGTCTCTCGCACTATTCAACTCTGCCCTTGAAGTGCAAAAGCCACCACAGACAATATGTAAACAAATGGGTTTGCCTAAGCTCAATAAAACTTTATTTATGGACACTGAAATTATAGCTTTTACATGTCACATGATATTATTCTTCTTTTGATTTTTTTTGGTAACCATTTTAAAATGTAAAAATCCTTCTTAGCTCATCAGTCTAACAAAAACAAAACAGTAGGCTGGATCTGCCCCGCCCCCACTGTCATCTGGCAACCCCTGATACAGAGGATAGTTCCTGAGTTTTCTGTTTATGTACACTTGGTCATCTTCCTGAACTCATCAGTAAAAGCAGGTTTTAAATTCTCCTGGATTATGTAATTCGGCAGTCACATCTATAAGTAACAATATTTTGGATTTTTTTCTGATAACAGTATATACTTTTGTCATTTTGTTGCTTTGCCCAGAACTTCCACAGCAATGTTAAATAAAGTGGTGACAGTCGGCATATTTGCCTTAATACCTGACTTGAATGAGACTGATGCTAAATTACACTGGAGGAATCGGTACGTGATGACTAAGAATCACAACACGTAAATAACTTACAAGTTACATGATGAAGAGAGAAATACCTAGTAAGATGAGTGATCTGAAAACCTCTTTTAAGAGATAAAAATAAATACCAGTTCATAGATTTTGGGTGTTTCAAACACAGTGTCTTCAGGTTCATCACCAGTCGGTTCCGGTATCTCACGGAGAAAATCCACAAAGTATGGTTCAGGGAGAATACACGATGCCACATCAGAGCCAATATTTTCTTCAATTGCATGAATAAGATGCACATTAAACCACTGCTCATCTTCGGGAGTTATAAATCTGAGGGGGGGAGGTAATAGTAAGAATGTGGAAGATGAAGGCATCTTTTCTAACTGAATACCTCCTTCCTCTCCGCCTCTACCCTGGACCCTCCTCACCTCGAGATGGAGAAACAGTATGTTGTACCTTTGGACAGGAAGGGCATAACCCCCTCCGAGAGAGTTATAACACCGTGGTATTACTTATAGGAAACACAGATGAACCCCCACTTGGGTGAGGTCAGAGGTTTCTGCAACGTGCAGTAGGAGTACAGGAGCTCTGGTCCACAGTGGGCCTGTGTCCTCTTTCTGGGTTTGTGAGTGCACAGCACAGGAAGATTTTTTTCAAACTTACAATATCACAGAGGGAAGAGAGAATAAGAAGGAGCGACATGGGATGAGGACCACCTACAGGGGAGACGTGCCAGGTACGCTACAGCATAGTAAGATGGGCATGAGCATCCATCGGTCACAGATGGAGAAACCGAGGCTCAGAAAGATGACTGAATTTCACTTTCACGGGGTAGCTAAACTTTAATGGGGTGAAACAAGATTTCGCCATGTAAAACCTACACAGAGCTAACAATTCTTAGAAAACGTGCGCAACAAAAATTCATTACAAAATGCTATCAACTCTCTGATGATGTGCTTTATAAAGATGTATTGTTGAAGTAATACTCCAGTAAATTAGCAGAGCAATTTTAGAGGCAACCAGCAGGTGGGAAGTGTTCTCAATGCTTCAGAAGCCCCATGGCAAGTTAAGACAATGCTCTTGTTCTACTGATCTGAGTAGGCAATGCGAGAACTAATCTAACAGTAGAAACCTCTCAGGCAGCACACTTAAACTCCAGTGCTGTAAACGTACCTGTCTGCAATTACTCTATTGCACTCGTGTTTGAAAAGTGACAGGAGAACAGGAAGCGAATCACACTCCTCAGCTTTTATGGTCAACATTCCTTGCCAGATTCTGGAAAGATCTCGAAGATTAAAGATGTAATGAAATTTAGAAGGAGTTGGCAGCATCTTCACCTACAGAGAAAAAAAAATGTAATACTCTTGATTAGTTTTCAGATAAAACTAAAAATAGAACTGCTTTTACAACTATTCTATCTCACAAATCCTATTTCAGTAAAATAGGCTGAGTAAATAAATCAAGATTAAGTTCACGTTCTTGTCACAGCCCTGCCAGGAAAAAAAGAAAGAAACACACACATAGAATGTAAAAGACTCTAAGCCCTTGAATATGATAGATCCAAGAATAAAGCACTAGAGGCAGATTCCAAGGCCTCATTCTACCCTTATCAGTTGGCTTTGAGTAAGTCACTTCGGCTGAGTTCTTAACAACTATGTGTGGGTGCAGGACACAATTACAGGAGAGACTCTACCTCACCAACGCAAACATTGTAACCTAGTTGTTTGTACCCTCACATTAATCTGAAATTTTACATAAGGGGGGAAAAAGAACTTGGTGAATTATAAGAATAATCATTCCTAACCACCATTAACCTTAGTAGTGTATATATGGAAGTATGTCATAACAGAACACTGAACAGAGCAGGTGGTCATGCAGGTGAGAACAACGGATGTTCATTTTCAAAGTCAGTAATGACTCTTCTGCAGACTGCTTTGATTACGAACCTCATTGTGTTTGGATTTCACTGTGGGGATTCAAACTCAGTCAACACTCTTCCATACATCTGTGAATCTATAATCAGTTGACAGGCATTTGTGACACGCAGCTATAAGTACTGTAATAGCTGGTTTTTCTGAGGTTTTGTTTATTTGAGCACAAAGATTGCGCTTGGCTATACTAATTTACTATTTCTACCAACTTGTAGAGAATAGAAAGGCAAAGCTGTAACAATAACACACTCTTACCCCGAGAGATACCAGTAAAGGGAGAAAGTCAGGTACTATAGGTGTCAAAAGCATTGCTGGCCATGTATAAAGATCATAATGGATATGATTAGCATCATTTTTGAAAGTGAAAACAATGATACTTCTGATCATACAACTTCCCACACAACTAATTCAGGAAAGTAAATGGTTTCTTCAGTATCTGTTCATAAAATAAGCCCTTTCTATATTGAAAAAGCACCCTATTGAGTCTGTAGAATAATTTTTGCAGGCTAATTCACAGTGCAAGTTAAAATAGCAGGTACCATGGGGAGATGTTATGAAAAGAAGTGTTATTTTATCCATCACCTTTCAATTTCCCCCTTTGCTCAGTTCCACTGCCAGCTAAAATGTTTGCTTTTATCCACTAAAATAATAAAACATATATTTACATTATAAATGTGCAAAAATTCTCAAAGGGATAAGGTTATGTGAGTATCTTTTCTTTTTTCTTTATAGTAAAAGGCTGTATCTTTGATGGCAGCCATTGGTAACTGAAGCAGTCATTTAAGAGAATCTGTAAAAATAATTCCTTCCCCCCTTCTTCTCATTATTTGTTAACTTGCTTCTTTCTTTCTCTTCTAATATTTCCCTTTGCTTTTTGTCACCTTCTTTCTTTTCTCACCTGCTTCTGCTTTAAAGCCATGTAACGTCACATAAAGTTGGGATGACTGACAAGGTATGAATGGATTACGAGTGCTTCGTGAAGATGGGAGGCTTAAAAAGATACAGAGAAGGCTGCTTATGTGAGGGTGGGAAGGGGAGGAAAATTCATTCATTTTCCAAAGACTGAGCACCTTCCACTGCTCTTAAGAAAATACCATGGTAAACAGGAAATCTATACCTGCTACCACAAGGGAGCTGCCATACTGTGAGGGAACCTGAGAATGAACAGGAAACAAAGACGTTTATAAACAGGCAAACAGACTAGTAATAATGATAAACGCCACAGTTAAAAAAATAAAGTAGGGTCAGGAGACAGAGAAGGACTGGGATGGGGCGTGGGCAGTTACATAAAGGATCTGGGAAAGTCCCTCTGAAGATAAGAGTGACAAGAACGAGCCAAACAAAGTATAATGGCTCAGCAGTGTGGAGACCTAGTGAGTTCAAGGGCCCATGAGAAGAGAAGGGCTGCATGCTCGGATGGGGCACAGTGACAGAGGGGAAGGGAGTGAGGGGGGGTTCAGGTTGGGTTTGTTGTAAATGTACCTGGAATCCACTGATGGGTTTATGATGGAGTAATGACCTTTGGTTTACTTTTTAAAAATATCATTCTAGGACTGTCAAGAACAGACTCCAGGAGGCCAAGAAGAAAGCAAGGAGGCTAGTCGGGAAGTCACTGCACAGTCCAGAGGACCGGCGATGGGCGCACGGGTCAGGGCAGCCACAGCAGGTGATGAGGAGTGCTCAGCTTTGGGATTATTTTGATGGTGAGGTCACTGAAACGAGCTTGTGGACTGTATATAGGTGATGAGAAAGACAAACCAAGGATGGGGCCCTTTTTTTTTTTAGCTTGAAAAGAGGGATAATTGGTGTTGCTATTAATCAAGATGCAAAAGTCTAAAGGTGGATCATGTTTAAGAATATTTAAGAGTTCTGTTTGGACATGTTAACTTTGAGATGAATATTAAACATCAAAACAGTTTACACAGTTAGAAATTAGTCTGGAGCCAGGCGGAGAGGCCTGGGATGAAGGTATTGATTTTGAAGTTGTCAGCATGGAGATGGTATTGAAAGCCCAGAAGCTGGATGAGACCACCTAAGGGGAAGAATGTAGTTAGAGAAGAGGTCCCAGACTCAAGAGCAGGTGCATTCCAGTATCCAGAGAGGGGAACTTTAAAAAGGGAGCCAATGAGATAGGAGAAAAACCTATCTCCTGGCTATGAGGAGTATGAGGAGACTCTGAAGCCAAGTGAAGAAAGTGTTCAGAGGGACCATCTAGGTCAAAAGTCGCTTAAAAAAAAAATCATGTATGAGGAATAATTTGTAATTTTGCAAGATCGAGGTCTTTGGTGACCTTGATGAGAGCAATGGAAATGATGGAAATGAAAGATTGTGCAAAATGGGCTAAAGAGGTAAAGAAAGAGGAAATAGAGCCAGTAAACATTCAGATAAAAGAAACTTCCATGGAGAGACACCTGCAAGGCCAAAGCTTTTCAGAAAATTATGTATATAAGCCCATTAAATAGAACAGTAGCACTACCAGAAAACAGATGGATCTTACCATAGAAAATTATCTCAGATGCTCAGAACTTGCCTGAAAAATTCATTCTTCAGGTTTTTGAAAGAGGCAGAACAGTATGTGCAAAGACCCTGTGTCAGCAAGGAGCAGGGCTCCACACAAGGGACTGGTCACTGGAGGAAACTGTGTGGAAGAGTGTCCCATAAGAAGCACCCCTCCTCTTTGGTTTACTCTGTTATCTAAACTTGCCCTAGTCCACCCAGGAATCCCCAAATCTGGCAAACTGCAGATTTCCCAGAAGGTAAGTGCCACCATGCATGTAGAGTAAGGTGACCAGATTTTAACATAGGTAAAGTAGGACACTATTGGCTGAGCTGTTTATGGTTAGGGACCCTCTAGAGAAGGGGGGGGCTACTTGTTTGTTCCAGACAGTTTAGCTCCTTCCTAGCTAATTGTCCTTGCCTAGAAGCGAGGGAGGGAGCCAGTATCCTTCTGATACCGATTCCACCTGGGCGACCTTGCCCAGGAGAGGAGTAGGGAGTTTACATTAGCCTTTTCCTTTCCAAATGAAGTTACATTAACCTGTTCATTCCCAAATGGAGTTACATTAACCTTTTCAGCAGCCGAGTATATTCCCTTCCTGTTCTCCTGCCCTGCCCTAGCTTGTTGTGTATTCTTTCCAAAAATCCGGACTTTTTTAAAACACCACGGGATGAGGGACAAATTGTTAAAAATCGGGACAGTCCTGCCAAAAGCGGGAAGTCTGGTCACCTTAGTGTAGAGTGAACTATGATAACTAATCCTTATCTTCTTCACCACTTTCTGACAAATACATCAACCTTGTTTTCACCTCGGACCTACGTTTAATTGCCTTCTCATGACACCCAGTGAGCTACCAGGCACACTGAGCTTTATTCAGGGCACTGACTTGTATGTTAGAATCTAGCCTATTTTCTTAAGAACACTTCTGCCCATTTACTAGCTCTGCTCTACCTGGGACAGGCACACAAATCAGACTTCCGGTCCTAGTTAGCAGAGAAAATCTCAAAATCCATGTGTTAAGAGCGTTGGACATAGTTCAGTGGAGGGAGACAGATGATACAAAGAGTTAAAAATCAGAGAAACAAGTGGAAAAGCAGTGTTCTTATTTCAGCAAAATTCTACTTGATATTGGATGTTGTGTGTGGTTTACTGCACTATCTCATGCATATGGAAAGCATCATTTAGTCAGAGTATTTGGTCCCTGGAAGGAAAAGGTGTCATAAATCTATTTGAGCACCTAATTTATCTCTTCTAAAAAACACCACCACATAGGATGTTATGATAACTTAATGATCCACGAGGTGAAAACTAGGGCTGAATAATAGTTGACATTTTTTTTTTATTATTGACAACAAACCATTTTGTACCTTAGTCCATTGCCACAGCACTCTGCCTACTGAGACTAAATTCAAAATCATGTCACATACTTCAGGTTTGAACTTTCTGCAGGGATCAAAGTATCCACAGCCAATAACTCCTGAAAGATAAGCAAGATTGAAGGTATAAGCTAACTAAAAGATTTCAAAGTACATGTTTATCCCAGTGAATAAATCACTACAAGACTAACTAAGCTGGGGGTTTCTTCAGAATTTCTTTCAAGGGATCAGCTAAGCCTGGGAGTCAGCAGTGGGCCTAGCCAAGCTTAGAACGCAGTGAGAGGCATTTCACGTGTATTGACTCATTTAATCCCCCCAGCACCCTCTGAGACAATATGAGATAGATGCTATTATTATTATTATCCCCATTCTAATGTGAGCTCAGTAACTTGCTCAAGGTCGCACAGCTTGTGCACCAGCAAATCTGAGATGTGAACCCAGGCGGCCTGGCTCCAAAGCCTATAAATCAGCCTTCACTCTGAAGCACATGAGAGCTGGAAAAGAGTTCGGCAAGATGAGTACCCCCTCATCTTATGGAGAAGGAGACCAAGCCCAAACATGAAGCCGATTGTTCAAGGTCACGTGGACTGGTTGTTGACAGAGCTGGAATCAGGACCTATATCTCCCAACTTCCCATCAGTCACTGCCCTGGCCTGGGCAAGACCTATACCACTCCCAGGGAACACCCAGCACAGTTGACAGCCCAACCATCATAATCACCCCCAGGAAGGACTGCGTTACATGTTACATGAAACTACTCTTGAAGATTCAAAATGTCTTTGATGTAGATTACATAAAGAGATTACTCTAGTTCACTGCAGTGAGAATATGGGTTGAATAACATGTTCAGTTCTGAGCAGGGCACTGTCAGAGGAATGTGACTCTGAATCCCTGCTTAGAGGCCAGCAGCTCATGAGGATGAAGCAGACTAAGGGAACTGGGGTTCGTTCACATTGAAGAACTGCCTTGGGGAAACATGAAATTGTCCTCCCAAGTCATGGCTGGTTGTGCTGGATTCCCATAAGGCCCCCTTATGTCCTGAAATCCTATATACTAGACTTCTACCTGTCTGTGGGACAAATGTGTTATAGAAAGCATAAGATCTGGATCAGAAAGTGGGAATGAGCACCATACCTGTGCCACACTCAACTGGCAGTTATTTCACCTCTCCGAGCCTCAGGTTCTGATTAGTTTGTTGGATTTCCACATCAGTTTAAATACACCAATCATATTGAAGAGTATGTCAAATAGCTTACCATATAAGCAAACGCCCATGTACAGACCACCACACTGAGAAGTACAACACTGCTTGGTGCAATAGAAGCCCCTGTTTCTTTACCCTAGTTCACAGCCCCACCCTTCCTCCAGAGGTAGCCACCACTCCAATCTGATGACAATCAGTAACTTGCTTTTCTTTATAGCTTTCCCACTTAGGTGTTTGAGCTTTAACTTTCTTTTAACTTTTGGAATCTAAGCTAATGGAATTGGCCGGGTGCAGTGGCTCATGCATGTAATCCCAGCACTCTGGGAGACCAAGGCAGGTGGATCAGCTAAGCTCAGAAGTTAGAGACCGGCCTGAGCTACAGAGAGAGTCCCTGTCCCAGCTACTTGGGAGGCTGAGAAAAGAGGATCACTTCAGCCCAAGAGTTTGAGGTTGCTGTGAGCTGTGACACTACAGCACTCTACTGAGGGTGACAAAGTGAGACTCTGTCTCAAAAAAAAACGTTCATGGAGGGTGGTGCCTGTGGCTCAAGGAGTAGGGTGCCAGCCCCATATGCTGGAGGTGGTGGGTTCCAACCCAGCCCCAGCCAAAAACTGCAAAAAAAAAAAAAACTTCATGGAATCACGTATTTTTTCTGTGATTTGCTTCTCATGTTCAACATTCTATTTCTGGGATTCCTCCATGGTGAAGCATGCAGCTGTGTTCACTCATTTTCCTTGCTACATACCCTGTGTGTCTGTGCCACAATTTATTTATCCAGTTTTACTGGCAAGAAATATTTGGGTTATTTCAAGTTTTTGCTATCATAGAAACTGTATATGAACATTCCTGTACAAGTCTACTGCTATGCATGTGCAAAATTCACTATGGATGGATTGAGGACCAAAATACAGAAAGCAAAACTATGTGATATTTATGAGAAAATATGGAAGAATATCTGTGTGATGTCTAAGTAAGACTCAGAAAGCATCAACCATTAAAGAAAAAAATGGTAACTTGGAATAAGCCAAGACGTGAAATTGTATGGGATGTCCAATTTACGGTGATGACGCCAAATTATTATCCAAAGAGTCTGTGGTGGCTCGGCGCCTGTGGCTCAAGTGGCTAAGGCGCCAACCACATACACCTAAGGTGGCGGGTTCAAACCCAACCTGGGCCCACCAAACAACAATGATGGCTGCAACCCAAAAATAGCCGGGCGTTGTGGTGGGCACCTGTGGTCCCAGCTACTTGGGAGGCTGAGGCAGGAGACTCACTTAAGCCCAGGAGTTGGAGGTTGCTGTGAGCTGTGATGCCACAGCACTCTACACAGGGGGACAGCTTGAGGCTCTGTCTCAAAAAAAAAAAAAAAAGAGTCTGTGGCAACTTACACCCCCCACCAGCGAGGGGGGAGAGTCCCACTTGGTTACATTCTCACCAATGCTCGATTTTGTCAAAAATTTTTACTTTTGCAAATCTAGTAGATATAGAATGGTATTTCCTTACTGTCACTAACTTGTATTTTCCTGAACACTAAGGATGTTTGCTATCTGCACATTTGTCTATTGGCCATTTACTTTCTTCTTTTTAAAGTGCCTTGGTTTTTGCCCATTTTTTATTTTGGGTTGTTTGCTTTTCTCTGACTGATTCACAGGATTTCTTTAAGTAGTCAGAATATCAATTTTTATCACTATTACGTAATGTTGAAATTTTTTTTCCACTGTAGGGCTGTCATTTCACTCTTTTAATGTTCTTTTTTAAATGAAGTTTTTAATTTTAATCTAGTTAAATTTAACATTTTTTCCCCATGCTTTCTGAGTCTAATTTAAGAAGTCCTTCCCTACTCAGAGTCACTCAGATTTTTCCCTGTTTTCTTCCAACTATTCATACCCTTGCCTATCTTTCTGCTTTAAATTTTGTGATTGGTGTGAGGTAGGAGTCTAATTTCAATTATTTTCCCAGAAAAATTACTAAATATTCCAGGACCATTTACTGAAAGTCTACCCTTCCCCTTCTGATTTATAACATTTGCTACATCAAATGCTGTATCCATGGATCTGTCTCTTGAGTATGTTCCTAAGTTTTGATGGTGCAGTTTATGTGAGCCTACATTTGGTGTCAAGAATCATCCTTTTCGGGGCAGCGCCTGTGGCTCAAAGGAGTAGGGTGCTGCCCCCATATGCCAGAGGTGGCGGGTTCAAACCCAGCCCTGGCCAGAAACTGCAAAAAAAAAAAAAAGAAAGAAATATCCTTTTCATTAACATATCAAGGTGCTGCCATCAACCTGGTATAATACCTTTGTGCTGTCATTCATTAGACCAAATCTCTCTGACTAACCATGTCAAGAAAACTAAAACACCAAGATCCCTTATCTCCAATGCCAACTCTCAACAATCCTATTTCTAATACTCCTAAGTCTTAGAATGGGTTATAAGCATGAGTCATCTTAGCATTTAGTCCCTCTTCCCAGGTGTTTATCTCTCCATTTCAAATATTTACCCTCTCCTTTAGACACAGCCTTTTTAATCTCTTAAAGTTTTGCATGGTTTACATGTAGTACAATAAAAAAGTCAAACATTAAGAATATTCATACCGAAAATTTTGTCTATTGAATTATTTGAAGGCAAGGTACAATTAAACACAGTAAACTGTCTTTTTAAACGTTGTGGAATATCATTTCGACCACCTCCAGGGTGGATCATGGCTGCTATGAGCTGCACATCAACAATAGTGGTGAAGTCTCCAGGCTTATCCAAACTGTACATTCCTTCCATTTCCATCATCTGTCGCACGATCTCGTTAGTTATCTGAAATTTTACACAGTAATATCTTTGTAATATATCACCATCCTATTCCTCCATAGCTTCTATAAAATAGTACAGAAGAGATTAGAAGAAAACGTTCAACTCTTATCAATGAGGAGTTGGTAAATGTCAATGATCACTTTTCAACTTAAATGATGCCACATATGAACTCTAAATCATAAGTTAAAGTATCTGGTGCAAGTTCAATGTGCCCTTCACCACATTGGTAAAGCTAATTTTCAAATAAATGTAGATAGGTTAGTTATGAGATAGTTGGTAAATAACAATAGCACTTAGACTTAGAAGTTTTACTACAGACATCTTTCAACACTTCAAAACACTTTAGATCAGAACAAAGGAGAGTTTCAGTCCTAAGCTTTCAATATTATATTATTGAATGTTTGGTTTGGGGGTTTTCATGCTCATTTTATCTTCTCTACAGCTTCTAACGCTGCTAACACTCCATCCTTGAAAATTTTCCTCTCTTAATTTCACAGGTTCATTTCTTTCCAGGTCCATCTCACGACCAAATTTCTCTGATTAACCATGTCAAGAAAACGAACATACAAAAGTTCCCTTATCTTCAATGCCAACTCTCAACAAGCCTATTTCTAACATTCCTAAGTCTTAGAATGGGTTATAAGCATGAGTCTTCTTAGCATTTAGTCCCTCTTTCCTGGTGTTTATCTCTCCATTTCAAATATTTAGCCTCTCCTTAGACACAGCCTTTTTAGTCTCTTAAAGTTTTACATGGTTTACACGTAGTTCACAATCAGTCTGTCAGGAAGTGAGGTTGTCTCTATCTTCAAACTATATCCAAAATCCAATGACTAGTCATCACCTCCCCCGCTAGCGCCTGGGGCCAGCCACCACTGTTTATCTTCTTGGTCATTACAGATGCCTCCTCGTGGCCTGATTTCCTGACAGACTGATTATGTAGCTGTTACTTCCTGAGATGGGGAAGACTCTTGGAGCAACAGGCCCTAGACATACATTTGAAATCCAACTGGACATGCCCAGTGGGGTAAATAAGTTTGAAATTCAGGAGCTTTCTAGCTTCTGGATGAGAGGGAGAACCAGATCAAAACACACTTCCACTCTCCCACCTTCTGGGAACCGCTGAGATCTGTGCGCCTTAGAGCAGAGAAGGGCTGCACGGAACTGTGCAGAGATTCCTCTCAGAACGGGAGCTGAGCTGAGGTGCTGCTGGTATCTGAGGTGAACCTGGATGTGGAGTAGGAGGGGACGGTGCTGGTAGACACAAAGTAGGCAGCATCAGTGAGACAGTGTATGTTGCGGGGCTGGGGATCCCACCAGGAACACACAGAATCGTGGAGATACCAGTGAGGTCCTCTAATGGAGAGTGACTCAAGTTGATAAGTGACCACATCCAGGATCACGGTGCTTTACGGTAGAGTTACATAAATAAATAAATAGGTTGCGGGGGGGGAGTGTTTGGTTTTCTTTCTTTTTGTTGGAGACAGAATCTCACTCTGTCACCCTGGGTAGAGCGCCATGGAGTTACAGCTCACAGAAACCTCAAATTCCTGGGCTCAAGAGATTCTCCTGTCTCAGCCTCCCAGTCGCTGGGATTAGAGGCAACTGCCATAGCATCCAGCTAGTTTTTCTATTTTTAGTAGAGATGGGGTCTTGCTCTTGCTCAGGATGGTCTCAGCTCAGGCTATCCATCCGCCTCGGCCTCCCAGAGTGCTAGGAGCATAGGCATGAGCCACCACACAGGGCTTGTTTTGTTTTAAACAAGTGAGTATATCTCAGAGACAGTCCATGCATTAAGAAGTTAGAACAAGGATGAAACCCTGGGGAAAAGGAGAAGCGAGGAGCCAGAAAGGACATGAAAATCAAGCAGCCAGAGAGACAAGGGGGCAGCTGTTGCAGAATCTGTGCAGGGATTTCAAGAAGGGAGAATGTCAGCTGTAATATAACAGAGAAGACTGAGAATTGCTACTACACTTAAAAACATGAGGTTCTTGACATTTTTATATACAACTAAAAATACGAATGATCATCTACATGAGAAATTGTAGTCATACCTGGTCTCCCCACTCATTAATCACAGGCATATTAATATCATCAATAAACACAGTCATTTTTCTTCCTCCTGGTGGCCCATAGGTGCTTCCCATTCGCTTATCCACATAGCTTTCAATTGTTCTCTAGAGGAAAGGACACGGTTTGTCTCATACATTAATTTTGACCCAAATTTCTAAAAGTCATGAGCATTTTCTCAGAGTAGACTATAATTTACTTATATATTTAGTAAACATAAATAAATGATTAAAATGTATTGTTTGATTCGTATAAACATTACTGGAATAATGTTAATTGCAATTTACATTGAAACAGACACACTCCAAAGTTCAGCCTCAGTCTCAATATTAGGACAAAACATACTGTTTGGAATCGGCTTCCACCTCAGCCTTAGGAGGGCGAAACACCCAAATGCCCACTGCAGCACCATTTCTTCTGAATATAAAATATTTTTATATTTTATACGCATACACATTTTGTTGCAGTCACCACTTAAAATTTCAATGTTTATTACTAGTAAATGAAGGAGTTTACCTGAAACATCATTGGTTCTGTGGCAGAGGAAAAGTTCAGACTTTTGGATAACTGTACTTCAGGATCATATTTTTTCAAATAAGCCTTAACCATTACAGTTTTTGCAGTTCCCTGCTCTCCTATGAGCAAAACAGCCTGCAACCACAGGATAATCATGTTGGAAGGAGCTACAACATGTTCAGTTTCAAATGTCTTATGGTTCTACTGGCTATTCTTGTGTTCTACAAGTTGATACAACTAATTTTAACAATTTTTTAGAATTACTCCTACATCAAAGTAAGTCCCCGTGGAATTAAAGATTTCAAGGTAAATGTATGCTCTAAAAGTAATAGAAGAAAATACGGCTGAATGTTCATGTGGCCGTGGGAATGTGAAACAGACTCTGTAAGCAGACACTTTGATCAGCAAGCTGGTAGTCAGCAGTTCGGGGGACACTGAGTTTGAGTGTATCCTGGAACCTGAGGTTCATTTACCCAAATGTTTCCCTCAAAGGACACTACCTCCACGCCCTTGTGTTGGGATTTAATTTCTCTATCTGTAGTGCGTGAAAAGGGATGTGTTTCTTGCATAGTTTGTGATCACCTAATAAACTATCGGGTGAACTTACTTTATGCTGTTTTGCAATAGTGTCGATCAAAAAATTGGTTCTGACATTGTCAACGTTTGGAACCAAGATGGATGAGTATTCTGGAATACTGTCAGTTGGATAATAATACGGCTGCAGCTTCTTGTTCCAGTGCTCCCAATCACCTACACAAGGAAAATTTCATCTTAATAAAATGGCATTCTTTAAAAGTTACCTCAGAATACAAAAGGCAAGTGTTATAAACAACCAATAGAATCACATAAACACTTAAAATGGTTTCCTAAAACATGTAAATGTCTCTGCTTATCTAATGTTTGTGGTACTTGATGATTTAAATTTGTTCTGCCTTTTTATAAAGTCAGTTTTTATGCTGCTAAATCATATAGGTAGGGAAGCCTGTCCTGAAATGAAATTAGAATCAGCTGGTGGTAAAACCAAAGCTGTGAAGGGTATCTGGGTATCTATTCAGTAGGAAAGCCAACACATCAGTTGAAAAGACAGGAAAGATCCAAAAAGGGATAAGTGATTACTAGATACACTGCAGGCGTCCTCAAACTACGGCCCGTGGGCCACATGCAGCCTGCCTAGAACATTTATCCAGCCAGCTGGGTGTTTTTGCCACAGCTGCCTGTCCTGCTTAGCAGCCAACAAGTCCCAGGGCCCGCAGTCCGGCTGTCCAATAGTCTGAAGGACAGTGAACTGGCCCCCTGTTTAAAAAGTTTGAGGACCCCTGAGATACAGGATATTTGCCATGAGAAAGTGGAAGATAAATCTGGCCCCCTAAGTGTAGTAGAATGCCCAGACTTCTGACTTAATGTAACTACTAATTGATTAATTGATATTGCTGTTATAATATTATTACTACCTTTCATCTGTTATAAGAAAAAAAATTGTTTACATTTTGGCCTCTCTGGATTGTCCTTACCATGCTGTTCAATTGCTGTTGGCTAGGCAAATTTAGTCAGAGCTATTCCTCTCATTGCCATTTAAATTAATTACTTTTGGGCGGTGCCTGTGACTCAAGAAGTAGGGCGCCAGCCCCATGTACCAGAGGTGGTAGGTTCAAACCCAGCCGCTGGCCAAAAAAAGTGCAAAAAAAAAAAAAATCAACTGTTCATATATGTGGGGGTCTATTTCTGGACTCTCAGCTATTCCACTGATCTATATCTATCCTTACACCAATACCTCATTTTATTGATCACTATAGCTTTATCATAAGCCTAGCAATCAGGTCATATGAACGCTCCAATTTTGTGTTTTAAAAATTGATTTGCACCATGTTAGGGTGCATGTATGGCACACCTCTTGGGGGCAGGACACAGTTATAAGAGGGACTCTACCTAACAAATGCAAACATTGTAACCTATTTCTTTGTATCCTTAAATTAACCTGAAATTAAAAAAATAATAATTTGGTTATTATAAATCCCTTCAGATTTCCACATAAATTTTAGAATTTCTCTCTAAACTCAGAAAAAAAAAAGCCCACTGAGATATTTTTCACCATTATTGCACTGAGCCCATAGATGAATTTGGAAAGAAATAACATCTTACTGCTCCTGAGTCATCTGATCCCAAACAAGACTTATCAGTTTGGGCTTATTTAGGGCTTCTTTAATTTCTGTTAGCACAGTTTTTCAAGTTTGGTATACAGATCTCACATGTATCCCTAAGTTTAAACTTTCAATTTCCAATTGCTTGTTGTGAACATATAGAAATACAATTTATTATAAAATACAGTCCTTTTATTCTGTGACCTTGAAAAACCCATTTACTAGTTCTAATAACTTTTTTTTCCAAAGCTTCCAAGGTTAGTCATGTCATCTGTGAATAAAAAGAGCTGGACTGACTTGTTCTTTTCTAATTTGGAAGTATTTGATCTCCCCCCATCATTGTGCCACCTACAACCTGTAGTACAATATCAGACAGAAGTGAAGTTGAACCAGGAGAGAAAGACATTCTTCTCTTCTTTGGATCCTGGGCAGGAAGCATTCAGTCTTTTATATTCAGCACAATGTTAACCATAGGTTTTTTGAAAATGTTCTTTATCAGACTGATAACGTTCCTATTCCAAGTTTCATTACAAAACGGTCTTATATTCTGTCACGGACTTTTTCTTCATCTGTTCATTACAGATGACTATATGGTTTGGGGGTTTTAGTCTAATTAGCATAACTTACATTGATCAGTTCTTCCATTCCTAGAGTGAAAGCCCACTTGGACTTCATGTTATCCTTTTTATACACTATTGTCTTTGACTTGCTAATTTTTTTTTTGAGACAGAGTATCACTATGTCACCCTCATTAAAGTGCCATGGCATCACAGCTCACTGCAACCTCCAACTCTCAGGCCCAAGCGATTCTCTGGCCTCAGCCTCCCAAGTAGCTGGGACTACAAGTGCCCACCACAACGCCCAGCTTTTTTCTTGTTGCAGTTGTCACTGTTGTTTAGCAGGCCCAGGCCAGGCTCGAATCTGCCAGTGTCATAACCACTGTACTACGGGCACCAAGGCTTCTAGTGCTTTTCTATTTTACATCTTATTGATATCTGTTTTGATCATTGTTATTTCTCTCTTATGATTGCTTTGGGTTGAATTTGCTCTTCTTTTTTCTAACTCATTAATGAAGAAGAAGTTGAGGTCATTGTTTTGAATCATTTCTTCTTTTCTAATATAGACATGAGATGCTACTGAAAATTGTTTCATGCCCTGAATGTCATGGAAAACATTTTCTTTGTTCTTAAAAAAAACATATATTCTGCTGTTTGGGGGTGGCACATTCTATAACTGTGAATTGGGTAAAATATATTGATAGCATTGTTAAAATATTTCATATATTTAGTAATCTGTCTCCTGACAGACAGCTCTGACAGCTTTACTATGATTACAGACTTCCCTGTTTCTGCTGTTCCTTGGCACATCCTCTCTGTGCAGATTCCTCCTGTCTGGTGCTCTGCCATGCAAATTCTAGTCCTCTTGGCCTCCCCAGAAGCCATCTCTGCCTCCTCATTTTGGTAGCGGGTTTTCCCTCCCTGAGATGCTGTAGGAACTGCCTGCACACAGTAAGGTGCAGTCATCTAGTGTCACCTCCCTCAGTGATTTCGGCCCTGTGCTGCCTGTTGTCTGACGTCTGAAAAACATTGTTTCATACATTTGCCCAGTTTTATAGCTTTCTAAGGTACAAAATTAAACCCATTTTATTTAATTTTAAATATAATAATGAGGTCTTCTCCAAAAACGTTGACATCCATGCAAAACAATGATACCAAAAGAGGATGGATAAAGAATGAGCTATGGAAGGACTGAGTGGAAGTCACCTGGTGCAGGTACATCAGAACCCTACACAACCGTGAAACATACTGTGCTGGTCCACTGCATGGGCACAGAGGCTCAGAAAAATACATTTCACCAGAAGTAGTTATTTAGAGTGGTAAGCCCGGATGCCTGCGATCTATCCATATTTTAGTCCACAAACCATTTTAGGACCCACATGACAAAGGAATGTGAGTCTAGACTGTTGTCAACCTTTTGTTGACATTTCCATTAAAAACAAGAAAACAGGTTCGGCGTCTGTGGCTCAAGTGGCTAAGGCACCAGCCACATACACCTAAGGTGGTGGGTTCAAATCCAGCCCATGCCTGCCAAAACAACAATGATGGCTGCAACCAAAAAATAGCCGGGCGTTGTGGTGGGCACCTGTGGTCCCAGCTACTTGGGAGGCGGAGGCAGGAGACTCGCTTGAGCCCAGGAGTTGGAGGTTGCTGTGAGCTGTAATGCCACGGCACTCTACCCAGGGGGGATAGCTTGAGGCTCTGTCTCAAAAGAAAAACAAACAAACAAACAAAAAAAACAAGAAAACACCATCATCTAAACTTACAGAACCAGTATAAACCACTTGGAAGAAAATGGCAGAAACATCAGTTTCTTTCGAGAAACACTCTTTCTAGAAATGTAGCAATGCATACTTTTGATGGCACAGAAGGAGGCAGTTATTTATTGGCATTATTATTGGGTACCATCTCAGTGCCCTAAACAGGGCTTTATCATGGTTGGAAAACTCCTGCTAATGGATCTGCACTCTCTCAGTAACATGGGGCCTGGCCTCTCAGGAAGGACAACATGCTTGCCGGGAGGAAATCTGAACCTTCCAACATGATGCAACTCTGAGTTGCTCAGAAGGCTGCTCCATGGAGGACCCTGGCTCCAGATTCTAAGAGAATTCATATCTTGATCTAATGATTTATTTACTTGTTATGCATTCTGAGAGAGAGTTCCCTTTTATCTTCTCCAGCTTTCAGCAGCAGCTAATTACACGCTGTAGAACTGTCCGTCATTCTGATTAAAGAGGACCAGCTGAAAATGGTCATTTATCCCAGTCCCTTCAGACAGGCTCATTCAAACACCTTTACTTAGTCCTCATTTTCAGTATGATTCTCCCACCCGCACAGACGCTTGCTGTCCCCCACGTCCAGGAAACTTTCTCTTTTACACACTCTAAACAATGACTCTTCAGTCTTTGCCAGAGTGGGGTAAGTGCCCTGGTTAGCCGCAGGAGGTCTTTCCTTAAGCAGACTCACAACCAGCTCCACCTCTGCCCCAGTTCCCACTTCCTGAGCCCTTCGAAGGTTCTGTGTGATGGACACTGAGTTGCTTCTCAACTCTCCCGGCTGCTAGTTCAGGACTTACCTTTGCCCCGTGTGCTAAATCAACTGTCACTCACCTTTCTGCATTCTTGCTTTCAAACTTTTGTTATTGCTGTCTACTCTTCTGCTCTATTTATCCTTTCGAGTTTACTCATTCAAACAACATCCAAAAAAAAAAAAAAAAAAAACCTTTACTGCTTTAGTGTTCTCTGAGATTTAGAAGAATTGGGACCACGGCTCTGGAAAAAAGCACCAAGTTCAAAACTTCAGGTGACCTGAGCCCTGTCACACACTGACGGCTGGGGGCTAAGGTAACAGCACCGGACCTTGATTAGTCTGCTAAGTGTAAGTAGGAACTCATCTGCTTGGTTTCTTTCTACTCATTCTGGCATTTCCAACAGGGAAGTTGTGAGACTAATCTATTATACACCTATTGCCACAATTTGCAGCAAGGAGAATCTGCACTCTCCATGCTGCTACCCTTCTTCTTCAAGCATTAGAAACAGATGATATAAGAGGTATTGTTAACTTATTTATGCCCGATTTTATTTACTGAGGTCTCTCCAAAAAGAGGACAAGTCAGAAGTACCCATACCCATTCCTGGGATAGCTAACACGTAAAACTCAACTTTTAAAAAAAATATATGCCCAGGGCGGCGCCCATAGCTCAGTGGGTAGGGTGTTGGCCATATACACTGAGGCTGGTGGGTTCAGGCCCAGCCCAGGCCTGCTAAACAACAATGACAACTGCAACAAAAAAATAGCTGAGCATTGTAGCAGGCACCTACAATGGGAAGCTAAGGCAGGAGAGTCACTTGGGCCCAAGAGTTTGAGATTGCTGTGAGCTGTGATGCCACAGCACTCTACCAAAGGTGACATAGTGAGACTCTGTCTCAAAAAAAAAAGAATGCCCTTTTAAAATGATACTAAACTTTTTTTCCCCATAAACAAAGTTCATCAAAGTTTATATTTTTTCCCATTGGAAAAAAAAGTCATTCCATTGAAAGTATAATTCAATGTACTTACCATAATCAGTAACAAAAAATTCATACATGGTTTGGTTCGTGCCTTTAGGTATTTCTGGTAAGTCTAACTTGCTTTCATGAGTTCGTAAAAAGTTTTCCAGTTTTTCTCTGTTTTCCAGTTCCAGAGGGGCTCCTAAACTCCACATTAGGGCAAATACGAATAATTTATGAAGATGGTCGACACATGAAATACCGCCTTCTTCTTTGGAGGGAATTAAACCTTCCAGAAGATTAAGAGACTGAAAATTGTTTAAAATAAAATAAGTTTTTAAATTTAAATTTTTTAAATAAAAAGTTTTAAATGATAAAAATAAGAGGAGGGATAAAGAGAAACAAACAGATCTATCTTAAGGTATTGCTTAATCACTATCTTATAGACACGAGCAATTAGATCCCAGGCCATCCCGTTTTAGACAGACTGTGTGATCTAGCAGAAAGGAGGCTGACCTAGGAATCGGGCCAACTCACACGACCGACCTTTCTGAATCTCAGGTTCCTAACCAGAAAAGCAAAAGACCTAGATTAGATATTTACTAAAGTAGCTTCTGGTTCTAAAGTTTTATTATCCAAATTTTTCAGATGAAATATTCTCTTTGCAACATTCTACAAAATTTAGCAAACCATGTCCCCCAGGGCCAGTCACCTCATTGGTAGTAGAACACAGTCACCCTCATTCATTTAGGCATTGTCTCTAGCTTGATTTTGTGTTACAACAGCAAAGTTGAGTGGTTCAGACAGAAATTTGCACAAAGCCATTTAAAATATTTACTGTCTGGCTCTTCAAGAAAAACTGTGCCAACTCCATACAGCATCAGAAAGAAATGTATACTATAGTAAGACACTCTCAGTCTCCCAAAACAAAATTATTTCAAAATAAGATTTTCTCTTAAGCTTTTTAAAATAATTACTAAATGATTCATCACTTGAGCTCAGGAGTTTGAGATCAGCCTGAGCAAGAGCAAGACTCCTGTTTCTCTTAAAAATAGAAAAATGAGCAGGGTATTATGGCAGGCACCTAAACACCAGAATTGGGAGAATGCTTACAATTCTCCTAAGTTCTGTTTTTTTTTTTTTCCCCCAAAGATGAGTAAGGACAATAGTGGGAGAAGGAATACTATAAACTACTTTTCAGAGAATTTTTGTTTAAAAGTTTTCCCTATCTGATATACGCTAAATTTACAAAGCCAAGACTGCCACCCCAGTTTTCCTGATTGCCACAAGCTCTTGTTATACTTTCCTGGTAAATTACTAGCTTTACTTGTTAATTTTATCAACTGTCATTACAGGATACACCTTCTCCGACAGCTTACTAAATGTTACAGTGGGAAAAACAGTTCATTCCTCTCCCCCTAACAACAGCTCTTTGAGAAGTGATAATAATAAAAGAGGACGGTGAGACCATCAATAAGATTTTTGATAGGAATCAAACTTCTCAGAGATTTTGCAGCCATATCATAAAAAGATTGATGTGAACTGTATGACTTTTCTATTTCAGATGCCTATAAACTACAACTGAGTGGGGGAAAAAAAATCTCAAAATCGAAGTACTGAATATACAAAAAAAATCTTACTTGCACAATATAGTTGCACTCTAAGAGCTGCATTTTGGGACTGAGGTTTAGCTTCATAAATGTATATGCATCTTCAAAGGCTTTATCATACAAATTTTGGAATGTGGTAGCTTCCTGAATAGTGCGCTTCTTCAACCAGGCCTGCAGCGAAGACAGAATCCCTGCTTATTAAGAAACTGAAACCCAGAAAGGCACTGAGCATCTTCTATGCATCCATCTCTCTTCCCCACCTGCAATATCGGCCTCCAGCTGAGAGCAGAGCTGCTGATGTAGACCATGCCCATCCTGGACACTGTGGCAGGAGAGGCGTTCTCAATATTGTGGACTTCAAACAAAAGCTTGCAACTAGGGGCCATGGGAATGCGATCTCCATTAGCTAACGTGAGAGTTTTATTGTCATCCAACACAGAATTTAAGTTTTCAATCCAAATGGCATCCACGGGGCCATCTAAAATGAGGAAAATGTTTTCACCTGCAAATAATTAAAATGGAAAAATCACTTTTCATCTGCAAATAATTAAAACAGAAAATTAAATGAATATTGTCTTATGAACAAATTATCAGGTAAAAATGATCGCAAAGGAAGGTTTGTACCTTTTTTAGCTTTTAATGTTTTTCTCCACAGAGTAGAAAAAATCCCATCTGTCCAGTCATTAGTAGCAGTGTCCAGTCTGCCAAACATCTGAGGTGCGGTAATAGCTTTTGGATTCATTCGCATTTCTCTATGGGGCCGTCCACATTCTGTTAATGACTTCATCAGAACTGTTATAACAGTTGTCTTTCCAGAACCACTGGGCCCAAGAGTCATCAAGCCATGCCGTACCAAAGACGTCTCATATAACTACACGATTCAACAATAAGTTGAAAAATTTAATTTATGAGTCTCCTGCTAACATTCATGGGAGTTAGCTGAAATTTAAAAGGCTTTAAATAAGCTCTTCATTAAAGTAACTATTTCACTACTTAAAAGTTGTGAAAATGTTCTTTGTTTTACTAGATGTGCACATAGCAAATTAGCACCATGTAATAAAATGAGATAAATGACAAAGTAAATGACAATGGGGAACTTGAATTACATTGTGAAAATTTGGGATTCAGTTTGTGCTTCTCAAACTACTATTCCCTGTGATTTGGTTTGCTGATCTAACCAGCATGTGGTCCACACGCATAGCTCCCTGCATCTAGTGTGATGATATCGCCCCCTAGTGGTCGGAAGCTTTGCAACAAAGAGGCCAGTTTTGCGTGGGCTTTCTGGTCTCCCAAAATTGCATCTTGAATGAGGATTCATGTGTGACTAATTTATTCAGGGCATTCTCCCAGGAGAAACCAGTAAGGGAATGGGGAAGCTAGAGAAGAATGGGAAGAAGGCAAGTAAGGGGACTGAGGACAGAGTCCTGTGGAAGGTAGAGTCCAGTAGACCTCAACCTGATCCTGTGGGAGACTCTGGAATGTAAGCGACACCGCAGTGATTGCTGCACCTAGCAGCAAGCAAGCATGACTTTCCTACCCCATCACCTACCAGCCCTGACCTAAGGAGAGAGTGGTTAGGGGGAGGGTGTGAAATAAGCCCCTGGCAATGTCTACTCTTTGTACCAGCCAACAGAGTGGCTGGAGTCCTTTCCCTCACCATTAGCACACAGGGGCTGGGAGGAGGCACACAGAAACAGCAAAGGGGATTCAGGAGACATACTAACAGCGCTGGCAGGGTCTGTTACAACATCCCGTCTGTGGTTTCCTTAACAAAAAATGTTAACAAAAATTCCCGAGGTCCCCTGAGTTTGGAGAGGAGAACTTCACTTCTTATAAAGGGTCACAGCCTGCAGGCTGGCCACCCTGACAGGGTGGGAAGCTCTGCCTGAAGGGAACACAGACACATCAAGGGAGTGGAGGCTGGACAGGGATTTATGCTGAAAGGTTGGCCAAATATACATATTCAACAGGCAGGAGAGGTTATGAATATTCACAAACATGCCGTGTTACATGTGACCCATGGGAGTGGAGACAGCATTTAAATGCATTACAATTAGGCTCTATAGGTCAACAGGTGAAGAAAGGACACAAGGGCACTCAAGTGTGTGGCCTCCATAAACTGGCCCAAACCAGTCCGTGGCTGATGGTCTCTGAATCAAGAGGAAGTTACTGCTAACAGTCTCTTGTCCTATCAATGCTGTAGTTACATCCTGTGGAATGGTGGGGGGAGGGAGGCAGGTGCCAGTTAGATAGCATCAGAGTCAACATTGTTGTTGAAACAATTGTTTCAACATTGCTTATCTCAACATTGTTGCTGAAACAGTTGTTTCAACATTGCTTATCTAAAGGCTAGTGGTTGTTTAGCTGCTAGAAAAAAAGAAAAACCTTGTGGCAGTTAGAACATAAGTTTATCCTTTAAGTGTAGGGGCAAGTGACTTAACCCTTGCCTGGTGTGGCCTTAGGTCCTATTTATAATTTGGTACCATATGCCACAAGTCAATGTTGTCAGTCTTATGATCTCTATTTTAACAAAAATGAGAACTCAAATGTCTGAAAGCTCATCAGGGATAGAATCCGAGTTATTTTTCTAATATTTTGGACAGAAATATATTACTGTTGTGACCCAGAGTTTAAAAGCAATAGAGGCACTGTCCATATCATTATCTTCAAGAGCAGTATTACTGACATCAAGAACTCAAAATTCTAGTCCCTACCCACTGAGATGACTAGTATGAATTTAGTATTCAATATATTGTATGCATATACATAGAACATATTTTCTCAGAATTTTTTAAAAAATACTTAGAATGGTTTTCAATACACAGATGAAAACTATTTAAACTTATCCTCCATGTGCCTATTTATTTGTAAGGTTTAGACATATGTCTCAAATACTTGCATGTCTTATAACTTGGCAACAAGAGTAAGTCAAAATAAGAATTTTTTTGTTTGTTTGTTTTTGTTTTTTTGTTTGTTGAGATAGAGTCTCACTATGTCACCCTTGTTAGAGTGCCGTGGCATCACAACTCACAGAAACCTCTAACTCTTGGGCTCAAGTGATTCTCTTGCCTCAGCCTCCCAAATAGCTGGTACTACAGACACCTGCCACAGTGCCCAGGTATTTTTTTTTTTGTTGTAGTTGTCATTGTTGGTTAGCTGGCCTGGGCCAGGCTTGAACCTGCCAGCCTCACAGTGCATGTGGCTGGCACTATAACCACTGTGCTACAAGTGCCGAGCCAAGAATGTTTATGTTTTAAATGCAATTTTTAACAATCTCCACAATTTAAGCTCCTTCATTTTCCAATAGTCCTGGAAAATACTCCCAAGGCATCAAGCTCACAGAGATTTAATCTCGTGTCTCTGCCACAGCTTCTTGAGTCTGCTGATAAAGCGTGTGGACAGCTAACACAAGGATGGAAGGTGTTGACAGACACAGGCAAAGGACTTAAGTTTCAGTGTATGTGAAGGATACAACATGCCCAGACACAAAGCAGGAACAAGGTAGCCCTCCCAAACTCCTCAGACTGTATCCAGCAGAGGCGCTCACAGCTAGTTGGCTCCAGCTCGCAGGGTTTTACATCCTACTGTCCCATCCCAACTGTTGGTGAGATTCTGGTTACCGCCCAACTTTCCACCAGGTGTAACGATCACTCCTTGATTACTGTGAGGCTGGGAAAACCCATACTACTATTTCTAAGACAAAAACACACCCTGAAGGACTCTTCTTGCAATAATTACATGTACAGAAGGCACCAAAAACATGTACACACATTTTAAGAAAGGAAAAAAGTGCATTAAAATTGTAATACTCAAGTCATGTTTGACTTTGCAATTGCAAGAGATATGAGATAGAATACACGTTTGCAAACGAGTGTTACTGGTATATACTGACTCGAGTATTACATTTTTAGTGAAGTTTTTTCCTTTCTTAGGATGTGTATACGTGTTTTTAGCACCTCCGTATATGGTGTTTCAATTTAGCTCGAGCATTTCCATGAGGTGAGACTCATCATCGGTTCTTCTACTCAGATGGCGATCTTTAATACACGTTTATTACTACACTGATGAAAGATGAGATTTCCTTTACCTGCACAAGTTTGAGGTTCCAGGGCGGATGGTTAATCAAGCCTTCCAGCTGAACCTGGTTGGTTACTGCAGCTTGCAGTTCCACATAAGTACTACTGTCCAGCTGCAATCCTGGGAACAGGTCATTGATCAAGCTGAGGAACAGGGGTTCATCTTCATCGATCTAAGGGGGCACAGGTTAAAATAACTCATTCAGACAACAGATACTGATCATCTACCTAGAATCCGCATAGCACTTAGCGCCTCATGCCCAGAGACTCATCTCTCATTCTCCTAATCAGTCTGGCGTCCTCTTTGCTTCCTTTCTCCTGAGCACCACCACTGAATACACATGGTACCCAAAGTTCCTTGGCATTCAACAAGTCTACAATGGAGCCTCAGAGTCTGATCTCATTACTTTTTTATGAATGCTTTGCTTCTCACAGACTGACATTTGCATTAACCTTAAAAACAGCAATTTATAGTCCAAATCCCACGAGAATAGAGTATTAATATTTTATTTAAATTGAGAGGAAGAACCCATAACCCTGCAAGGCTCAGTTCAACACTGGGTGGGAAACTCCACCAGGGAAGTCTTCTCAGCCTTTTATATGAGCAGTAGGTTCGAGTGAACCAACTCCAATCCTTACTTGCTATGTCTTTAATATATAGACTGCTCCATTCCCAACCTCTGACCCTTTCTGATTTCTCCTTATTCTCTAGAACTTCCCTGATGCTTTTTAAAATATTTATCCAGGAATTTCAAGAATGACATTATGTAAGAGAGGCAGTGAGGTATACAGGAAGGAGCAGAGGATTTGGCATCAGAAAGTCTTCCAGGCTTATGTTCTAGCCTCTCAACTGATGATGATTACAGGTGAGTCCTCCATCCCCTTGAGTCTACTTCTCCCACAAGTAAAATAATAAGCAAACTAGCCATCTATATCCCAGAGCTCAAGCAAGACAATATGCCTGCAAAGTCTTCATAATAGCAATGAACTCTACAGATGTTACTTGTTTTTGTAACTAGAACTTGAGCTTCCTGAGAACTATTTCTTCCCCAGCCTGGTGCACCCAGGGCATGGGCACAATATGAGGCCCATAGATGCCCTTGAACAACCACATGAACCTCTGCATCAGCTTGCTCCAAAGAACCTGGCTGTACCTGTGACAAGCACAAAGCAGGGACATAACTCTCATACCTCCATGGCAAAGTTTTAGTATGACTTTGGAAAATAGGAATGGACGTACCTGAGATGAGCTAGTCATACACAGAGAAAGCAAAACATCTCATGGTTTCCTGTGAACCCAGATTTTCATCTTTAGAATTTGTGTCACATTAGGAATAATGACAGAGAACTGGGCTGAATTTTGGAGCTGACGCCCACCAATGACCTGTTTTATTGCACAAAACTGCCAAAACGAGGCACTGGGCTGAGCAAAGTGGTGCACACCGTAATCCCAGCACTTTGTGGAGGCAGAAGGATCACGTGAACCCAGGAGTTTGAGGCTGCAGTGAGCTATGACTCCACTGCACTTTAGCTAGGGCAACAGAGTGAAGAACGAAAAAGAAAAGAAGAGAAAGAAGAAGAGGTCCTTCCAGCCCTTGTTGGTCATACAGAGCATAGGAGTGTTTGTCACCTTCTGGAGCATAATGGGAGCATCACACACCTGCAATTATTAGTGCTCATAGCTCAACACAAGCCAACTCCCATTTGTCAGCTAAATAGAAAGAAACCAGGTCAAAAGCTTGGAAGAGAAGTGAATTCAGAGAAGCAAGATACCAATTTAGAGAGGTTCATATCTCTCAGTCCTCTCATGACAGTGCTTAATTCACTATCTTCTGGTCTGGCTCTTTTTTGAGATCCAAGTGTCCTCAATACAGATAGAATATTTCTCAATCCAAAGTCATAATGAACCTAAGATGGGACAAGAGGGCAAAAAAAAACTATTTAATTGAAAAATTAAATGCAGAGTCACTCTATGCGTATGACATTCTGAAACTTCTAAGTCATAGTTCTGAAGTGGCTGAGGTGTAAAGTTTTATTAGCTCAATTCTCCTGCCTTTCTTTAGCTGAAAAATGATCATTCCCTTGGAAAAACCAAGATGCGTGATACAGTATTCGTACCTTAAATAGCTTTTGAAAATAATACTGTCTGAGCAAAATGCAGTAGATTTTAAATATATAGTCAAAAGGCTACAAACTGTACGATTCTGTTGACATAACATACTTGAAATAAAATTACAGAGATGGAGAAAAGGTTAGTGGCTGCAACAGGTTAGAGGTCTGGGGGAAGGTGAGTGTGGCTACAAAGGGAGGGAAACCTGAGATGGGACAGTTCTGTGTCTTGATTGTGGAGGTGATTACCTCAGTCTATACACGTCACATAATTCCACAGAGCTATACACCCAATTAGACACGCGTACATGTATAACTGGAGAGACTGGAATGAACTCTGTGGATCATTCCAGTATCAATTTTCTGGCTTAGTTATATTTTAGTTACAGGATGCCAACGTTAGTGGAGGCAATGTGAAATGCACAGACCTCCTTGTGTATTTCTTTGCAACTTCCTGCAAATCTACAGTTATTTCAGAATAAAAACCTTTAAAAAATACATAACCAATAGGTCCAATTAATTACAAATACAGGGTGTCCCAAAGATTGCCCCTAACGTTGCCATACATAGGGAAAATGGAAAATTGTAATTAAATGTACCTTCATTTACAAATAATTCATAACAAAAGGCCGGGCATGGTGGCTAACACCTGTAATCCTAGCACTCTGGGAGGCTGAGGCAGGTGAATAGCTTGAGCTCATGAGTTTGAGACCAGCCTAAGCAAAAGTAAGACCCTCGTCTTTACTAAAAATAGAAAAACTGAGGCAGGAGGATCTCTTGAGCCCAAGAGTTGGAGGTTGCTGTGAGCTATGACACCATAGTACTCTACCCAGGGCAATAGCTTGAGACTCTGTCTCAAAAAAAAAAAATTTCCTAACAAAATTTTACAAAATATTCTCTGTTTGGCACCTCTTCACAAATTCCATAAGGAATATTTTGCAAATAAAGGTGCATTTAGATATAATTTCTCATTTTTTCCCTATATGTGGAAACTTTAGGGGAGACCTTTGGGACACTCTGTACATTCTAGAAAAGAGTCAGTGAGATTTTTTCTTAACTCACTGATGAGCATTTATCAAGGTAAAGCTGTGAAATGAAAAACCAAATTCTATAGCTAAAGAAAAAATAGATACACAAAGTTACCTGTTTAGTAAGTTGCTCTTCACAGAGTTTGTAAAGAACATAAAATTTTTGAGCCAGGATAACATTTTCAAGAAAACCACAGCTTGCGAGTTTAACTCGCATAATGATCTGAAAAATAATATAGTGAGATTTTTTTGACAACTTTAGTGAAAAACAGGAAAGAATATAAATTATATTATGGTTTTAAATCCTGGTACATACCTGTCTATCGGGAACCATCATAGCAACCGTTCTAAACTGGATTTTTAAGTTTTCTGGTAGTTCCTGGCGCCCAGCATATCCAGGGTTCTAAAAGTTAAAATATATTTAATTTTTAATTGTTGATATAATCATCATTTTCTGAACACAAATAGATTCTAAACCCTTAGTTCAGATGGTACTGAAAAATACTAGATTCATAAAATGTCCCTGTCTTCTCAAAAATGTGTATTGAACCATCCATATTTATTAATGTTCATATCACTTCCTTTTACACGTTTCCATTTTCACTATGTTACTAAAGTCGTATAACAATATTGTGCAGCAAAAATTAAGCATCTGTGTGTTTACTGACAAAGAAATAGAAAATGAGAGAGTAAAAGAGGAAACAGAATAAATACCTGGATATTATGGTCTAAAATATGTTACTGATTGAAAAAGGAAAAAGAAATTCAGGATTTTATTCTGCTCAGCCTACTCAGGTGTGTTTTATTTCATCTCTTCAATTATTCTTTGTAGTCATCAAGTTCTCTGGATGACAAAAACCCATGGTGAAGGGAAATTAAGAAGAGAATGACACGGAAAATATTGAAAAGGAAAAAAAGTCAAGGTGGACAGGAAACTAAGGCCTCCTATGATAGGTCAGAACCAAAAGTCCCAAAGGAAAGGTTGGAAGTTCAAAGACGAGTACAGCAAACAGGGGTCAGTTATTTCAGGCAACTTCACTGAGAAGCCTTCAGTCCCATGAACACTTACTGGGCACTGTTGAGAGGCCAGATACTTTGCTAGGTGCTGGAAATACAAAGATTGCTGGTTGCCTGTCAATACTCCTTCCTTAGTCACGGAACCCAAGCCTCAAACTACGTACATCACCATCCACATTAAAAACTGTATTTCCCACCCTGCCTTGCAGCTGGTATGACTAAATTCTACACAGAAAGGTGCAAAGGAACCAATTGTATGAAATCTCCTTGATGTTGGTTTGAAGGAAGTTGATTCAATCAACAGGATACAACAAAATGCAATGCTTTCTGCAGCATCTTGAGTCATAAGGTGACCCCAAGGGTGGAATCCCTGATGGAGCAGAACCAGAGGAGGATCTTAACAGAATAAATCCTTAGGTGTTGAGCTACAAATTTTTTCTTGCCTTAATTATTCACAGCTTAGTGCAATATCTAATTGCTATTTTCAATATTTTCTTAATCCAGAGAAAATGTTAAACTTCTTTTAAATTCTTCTAGACCGTGGTTTCTACACTAAGTAAATTACTTCATCCCATTTCCTGAGTTATAACTATTCACTTCTGGATTATTAGTATTTTTCCCTAACTTCTTTAACAGAGGTTTGCTTACAATAAAGTTATTGGAAACATTTCTGATTTTGCTTCCTACAATCTATCTTTTTCCACTGGGACTTTTAAAACTCCAGGTAATTTGTATTATCTTGCAACTTGGAGACTTCGCTTTTAGATAATACATAAAAACATTAAAGCTGAACATTTTCCTAATTCATAGAAACTCCTTTTTATTCATGCCTTCAATTTTCTATCTGCTTCATTACTGAATCTCAAAAGCTCTGCCCTCATAGGAACTGAATTTGTTTCAATTCTTTGGCATAAACCTTGTTAAATTATTTTGGAATTTTAAGTCATTCCTTTTTATTCCATGTCAGAGAAAAAACAAATATAGAGATTAAGAAGTCAAGTTTTGATGTTGGAGAGACAATAACCTCTTTCCCTTAATGGTTGTGAGCCTTAAGACAGCTGTTAAACCTCCCTGCACCTCAGGTACCTCAGCTATAGAAAATCCAGCCCAGAGGAGCTGTAAGATGAGATAATGTACCTGGGAGAATCTTTAGTGTTACTAACCAAATAGTTCAGGTTCTTCCTCCCTCCAGCCACCTGACAGGACTAAACTTTCCCACCCCCTTAAAGTTAGGGATGGCCATGAAACTTGCTTTGGCCAATGACTTGTTACTTATGTCACTTCTGGAAAGGAACTCTAAGGACCACAGCACAATTCTCCATGCTCTAATTTCTCTCTGCTACAGCACCCAGCAATGACTGTGGTAACTATCTTGTCAGCCTGAGTACCAGAGTAATTACATATACAGCAACCCTGGCCTCCCAGTCCCATCCCAGATAACTCACAGTAGACATACGGCATGAGGGAGAAATAAGTCTTTGTGCTTCTAAGCAATTAAAATTTGAGAAGTATTTGTTACTGTAGAATAGCAGGAGGTATGCTATTCAAGACAGCACATAGAACATTTAATCCCATACCTTACATATAGTAAATGTTCAGTAAACAGTAGCTATTATCATTAACATTATTTTACCTTCTGTCTGGGCTATATCTGCTTCTCAAAACAAAAATCATGCAACAGACAGACTAGCTCATGACTCCTGCACAGCCAATCACATACCCACTAACATCTGCTTTCTTTTATTTAAGCCTGTAACAATTAAACTAATCAATTGCATTTAAAGCCTATGTTCTCACCATGGTTAAGAAGATTCCAAATTCTGGATTTAAATCAACACAATCACCATCAGAAAAAATGAACTGTTTTTTCCTTTCTTTTCTTGCTGTCAAAACAATATAAATTTGTTGTGCCGCCACTGACAGTACAGGCAATTCAATTCTGTTAAACTCATCAAAACAGCCCCAGGAACCTGACTGTGCGAGACCTGGCATGAGAAACAGTTAATTTGCAAAGCTTCGCTCTGTAATACACCTTCTGGATAGCAGTTATTTCTCCAAAGTGCTCCCATACGATTATATATTAAAACAGGATTTATGTAAAGTTTCATATTTGGCTGTTTACAGTGACATCTTTAATTCCAGTGATCGAGGTTTAATTACATATTTGTATATCATCACCAAAATAGCACACTGACAAAATGAAAGTATAGACATGTCATTATACCCAGGGATGCTGAAGGGTGACAATATTTGTTCTAGTCTGAAAGTGCCACCTCGGTGGGGATGGAAGGAGCCACACAGTGTTTGAGGAAACTGACAAAACAAGAAAGGCCTTGTCACAGCACATCTTTTTGTTCCTTTTTTATTGCAACAAGGTAGAAATGTCAGGATGCAGGTGAGGCAAAGAATGGCCAACGGGATTTTTATTTATTTATTACAAAACTCAGCACTAAGAGAGACCTGGATACTGTGAACATGGCTCCTGTTTAATTTCTAAGGATGAAAAGCTGAGTCACCTTCCAGCCATACAAAACGCTTCCCCCGCTCTCAGTATTTCTTCTCTCTCCTGTAGGAATTGCCATTATGGCGGGGGAGGTCTGTGTGCCTGTGTGTGTTATATCCTTAAGTCTCTTAAGTTTTCTTTCTGTGTCTTTTTACAATGTATTCTCTTGGCTAAATATTCCAACTCAAGAGAGCTTTTTTTTTTTTATTTGCACTTTCCATTTCCAAGAATTCCCATTGTTATTTTCTCATAGTAGTGCCTGATTTTCTTTAATAGGTTGAATTGATATTCTTGAATCTCTGAAACTATTAATTTTATTTTGAGGGTTTTTTCCTGTTTCTTCTATTGATTCAGTGGTCTGTAGATCTCTTTACTGTGTTGGGTGCCTCCCTAAGTTCTTAACATATTTTATGAGACGTTGTTACCTCTGCGCCATGGTTTCTGAGTGTGTATTTCCTCATCCCAAAGGTTCGTGTCTGCAGTGTTGCGTGCCTGCCCCTCCTGATGAGCGGGAAGCGGTGGGAGAGGAAGGAAAGTTTCCCTCTGGACGTGGGGCTGGCAATCTGACCCACTTCCTTGCCTTTCCTCTCTGGCACTACCTCCCATCAGGGGAAGATCGTTGTCCAGACTCCCACTTCAGAGAACTGTGTTACAGCTTTCATAAGGAGGGAAAACACGGGCGACAGGCACTTGCTTTTCTTTTTCTGTGACTTCTGCTATCACTTCGGGATTCTCAGGCCACCTTGTGCTCTGCCGTGCTTTTCTCCACCACCCCCAATCCTCAGCTCAGGGGCGTAAGAACCCTTCTTGTTGGGGTTCAGAAATCTTTCAACACATAGGCAATCATAAAGAACAATATAATGAATAAACATGTACCCACTTACCAACTCTTAACATTTTCCTTCCAATTTCATTCAATGAATAGAATATTAGAATGACAGTTCAAGTTCGTGAGTGTCCCTCTCTGGGATTTATACTCCCTCCTTCCCCAGAGGTAACTTCCATCCTGAATTTTATGTCAGTGGCTCCTAGCCATGCTTTTAAACTACTGCTCTCCTATGTATACTCACAAACACCATTTACTTTGCTTGTTCAAGTGTATTATGCTTCTATCTAAATATTTTACATGTCCTTCTGCAATTTGATTTTTTTGTTTGGTCTTATTTTTCTGAGATTTATCTGTGCCCATCTGTGTACATCTAACTGTACTGAACAGCATTACACTGCATAAACACACCAGTTTAAATACCCATCCTACCCTCCATGGATATCGGTTGTTCCTGACGATGGGGCAGTCCTGCTCCTGTCTTCCTGCAGTCCGTGTGAGGGTGAAAGCCTGGGTCAGAGAGGATGCAGAGCTTCCCCTTCACCCTGGTGCCACCTGTTCTCTGAAGCAGGTCTACCAGCTTACACACACCCAGCTGCTAAGGGGTATAGTTCTGACACATCCTCACCAGCAGTGGTTCTGTTGGACTTTCCCACTTTTGCTAATCTAACAGGAGAATGATTATGTCATTATTTTATTTTGTGTCTCTTGGTGATTTACAAAGAATCTTTTTAAAACACTGGATATTATTAATCTTTTGTCAGATATGTTAAACGATCTTCTATATGTAGCTTATATTTTTTCTACCTTCTTAAATGGAGACATATCACATAAAGGCTATATAATTTCATATATAAATAACTCCCACATCCAGGTAAATAAAGGTAAGAGCCGGATGTGCAATCTCATTGTATCTGCTACAAAGACGTCTTCACATCCCATTCAAAGGAAGGGCTGGACGGGTGGACTCAGAACGTTTAATACAGGGAATCTTCAGTGCATTTCTCCCCAACCACATCCTCCTCCCTCCCTCCCTCCCACAGGGAGGAGCAGCTCAACTGAATCATTTTCTTGCTGTTCTTTACTATGTATACATAGCTACGTAATTTATTTTTAGTTTTACCCACTTTTCAGTGTTAATAAATTTCATGCTATTGTATGTAAGTTTATGAGACTGGCTTCCCTCACTCTTTGTTTATGAGACTGCTCTATGTCAAGGCATCCTGGAGTGACTCCTTTTTACCACTATATAGCATTACTATATGCCATTTCATATATAATATTTTCATTCCTTTTATATGACATGTAAATTATCATGCTCACAATCTATGTATCCACACCACCATAGAGGATACTTGGGGTTGTTTCCAAATGTTTGCTGTTATAAGCAATGTTGCTGAGAACATTCTCTCTCATTCCCCCAGCACAAGCCGAGTTTATCTGAATAGATACCAAAGGGTGGGTTCATTGCATCACAATGCAATGATGAACAGAAATGTGTGCTGAGAACACACATGCATCCTTTTTAAAGTAATGTCAGTTAATATGAAGCCAGAAGATGAGCTAATACAAAGGGGGATAGGAGAATGAGGAAGCAGGAAAGGGGAGAAGGGAGAGAGGTGGGGGGTTATGGTGTATGGCCCACCTCTTGCTTGTGGGACACAATTATAAGAGGGACCTTATATAACAAATGCAATCAGTGTAACCTAATTCTTTGTACCCTCAATGAATCCCAAACAATAAAAAAAACTTTGAAAACCAAAAATAATAATAATAATGTTAATTAAAAGATTTTATACTCTGGCCTGGTGCCTGTAGCACAGTGGTTACAGCGCCAGCCACATGCACCAAGGCTGGCAGGTTTGAACCCGGCCTGGGCCAGCTAAACAACAGTGACAACTGCAACAGGCACCTGTAGTCCCGGTTACCACTCCTATAGGAATGGGTGTTTCCCTTGCCCCAACCCTACCAATGATCAAAAATGCCCCACTTTCTTGTTAATCTAATGGAATCTTACAATATGCATTTCTTTGGCTGCTGGTCATTTGGTTTGCTTCCTCTGTGAAATGGCTTTTCCTCATTCCCTACTGGGATCTTTTCCTCATTGATTCATAGGCAGTATTCATATATTTGGGATACTAGCTTTTTGTAGGTAATATTTGTTGCTTAGGCCTTTTCCTAATTTCCAATATGACTTTTCACTCTCTTTTTGGCATTCATTGGTAAACAGGAGTTTTTCTTGGCAGTTTTTTTTTTTTTTTTTTTTTTTTGGCTGGGGCCGAGTTTGAACCCGCCACCTCCGGTATACAGGCCGGTGCCTACTCCTTTGAGCCACAGGCACTGCCCAATAAACAGAAGTTCTTAACTTAGGATAGATAAATGTATCTTTTCTTTATGTTTTGTGACTTTTCTACCTTTGTACTCTAAAAACAGAACTATCTTATTACATTACCTTCTAAAAAACTATACAGTTTCACCTTACTCATTTTAGGCATCTAATCTCCTACAACTGTTTGTTGTGTATGATGTGAGGTAGGGATCTAATTTATCTTGTTAAATATTAATCATCTCTTATTCCAGAACCACTTGTTGTAAAGTCCATCTCTTCATCACTGATTTTCAGTACCACCTTTATCACATGTCAATGTTCTTGGCCTGTTTCTTCATTCTCTGTTATATTCTGCTAGTCTATTTATCCCTGCCCCAAAACCACACTCTTAATTACATTCTGAATGGCATCTTTCTAAAATTTTCATTTTCTATTCCTTGTGGTTCATAGAAGTAAAATTGATTTTTGTATTAATTTTATGTTCTAACAAACTTGCAAAATTCTATTTTTCTATAAATTTGTTGAATTTTCTTTATGGTCTACCATGTCATTTGTAAATAATAAAATTTTGTATTTATTTCTTCCTAATATTTGTGTTTTTGTTGCTGTTTCTGTTAGCACTGGCTAGGATTACAATGCAATGATGAACAGATATAATGTTAATGAAAATATTTGTTTTTACGTCAAATCAAAGATAATGCTTTCAAATTTTTAGCAGTATGTTTTCCATGACAGTTTATCAGGTGAGCCATGTGGATGGATGCCTGGAGGAAGACCCTAAGAAACAGTAAGCTGGGGGTTCTGAGGAAGGAGTTTGCTATAGATGTTCAAGAAACCTCAGGAAGGTCAATGTGACTATAGCAGAGAAAGGTGTCAGGGGTGTCTTGGGCCACACATTAAATACACAAACACTAATGAAAGCTGATAAACAAAAAAAGGTCACTGCATAATTTTCCTGATATCCAACACCACAGATAGAACAGTCTTCACATAATATGCATGCAGCTCATGGGCCATAGCTTGGACACCCCCATGAGATGCAGTCAGAAGCTCAGAACAATACAGCAGGGATGTGGGAAGGAAAGGTCTGATCATGTAAGACAATAAAGAACTGCTGTGAGGACTGTGGCTTTTCCTCTAGGTGAAGGCACTGGACAGCTGCCATCAGAAGAGTGTCATGACCCAACTCCCATGAAGGAGGATCACCGTGCTGCCACTTGGAGACTGGAATGGAGGAGGAGGACACTGGGACACCCAGGAGAAAGCTGACTGGATGGTCCAGGAAGAGACCATGGTGGCCTGAATCAAGATGACCACAGTGGGGATGATAAGAGGCGTTCAGGTAGCAGGTGTATTCTGAAGGTAGAACCAATAGCGTTTGATGACAGACTGGATCTGAGTACGTGATGAGAGAAAAGAAGAGTAAAAGGATGGTCAAAGTAGTTTTTTGATTTTGAGGTTTTTTGTTTGTTTGTTTATTTGTTTGGGTTTGGATTTTGTGGTCTGAGCACCAGGAAGAATGGAGTGACCATTTAGTGAGATGGAGAAAGCTGAGAGGGAGACTGGGAGTTGGGTTTTGGATACAGTGAATTTGGACCTATTAGACATTCAAGAGGAGATGTCAAGTTGACAACTGTACACATGAATCTGGAGTTTCAAGGAGAAGCCTGAGCTGGAGATAAGAATTTGGGAGTTGTCATCTAGATGGTATTTAAAGCTCAGTCTGCATGAGGTCATCAAAAGAATACATGTAGCTTGAAGAGAAGACCACCAAGGACCAAGCTCTGAGGCTGAAGTGTCCTCTGTCCATCCGACATCACCTCCTCCCCACCTTTCAGGATTTTCTCAACATTTCCCCTCTGCTGATGGCCACCCTTCTTCTTATTTTCCAATGTTGCTATGCTTTTTAAAAATCTCTCACTTCAATAAGATTTAATGCAGGAAGAGAAGTCACATGTGTCACCAATTTGCCTGCTTCATCTTATCTCCTCCACTATTGATTTACACAATTATAAATTGATCCTATTTTAATAATCCAATGCACAGTCAATAGATAGATGATATCACAGCAATAGTACTGAACTATATGAAATTTATGATAATCTGGCCATATGAAAATGGCAATATCACATGGATCAACCTATACTAACGTTGATTACGTCACTTTAGCCTTCTACCAGAAAACAATGTTAGAGGGAAATAAAAATAAATTCATCAAAAATAACTTAATGTTGTTTGACGCTTGCCTTTGAAAATCCTTCCGAGGCCTCTGAAATCCATTTGATCTGAGCAGTTGAACACAACCACGTATTTTCCCAAACACCTTCCCATGTCCTTCGTGGTTTCTGTTTTGCCAGTGCCTGCAGGTCCTGCTGGAGCACCTCCCATGTTCATCCCCAAAGCCTGCGCCAACGTGATATAGCATCTGCAAGTGTTGATCAGAGGAAGCCTAGTGAGTACGGTGACAGGTGTTATAGGAAAGCCCAGCAAAAGCCCAAGGTGATTGAAATGGGGCTGTTTATTTTAGAGTTTGAGTAGCTCCCATAAAAGAGGCAACTTGACACTCTAGATTTCTTGGCATAAACTTTTAAATCCCCCCACCCTGCCTTAAACCCTTCAGGCCTTCCTCCCACTGTGGACAGTAGGGAAACCAAATGCCATTGCTGTGCTGGCAGGTGTTTAACATCTGGCTCTCTAACCTGGTTTTCATGTTCGCCAATTTCTGTGGTATAAATACTTCCACCATGGCCAATGACAAGCTAGCAATGTGACATCACAAACCGGTGCCAAAATGCACATAGTTGGCCCTCACAGGCTGATACAGGTCAGCTCCAGCACACCATTGCAAGTAAGTCAGTTAACCATGAGGTGGGCATTTCACTCATTTAGAGAAATACAAAGGATAATGTAATGCATTTCCTTGTAGCCATGGTCCAGATTCTGTTGTATTTGGTGGATCTAAGTAAAACGCAGTAAAGATATTAGTAAAGCTTCGTGAGACATGAAGCTTACTATGTAAACACCAGCGGAAGAGAAACACAGTGACAAATACGTGGTTCAATGGCACTGGGCATACACACGTCCAGAGGAGGCAGCCCTCCTAAAGTAACAGCACAGCTAACATCATATAACTCAATTTAAGTAATTCTGTGAACATTTATTGAGTGTCTGCTATGCACAGCATATCGAACTGGGTGTTGTGGGATATACAAAAATGAAAAAGACCCAGTGCCTGCCTCGTGACTTATACTGGAAAGAACTACGAGGCGATGTGCCACTGACTAATTACTCAGACTTGGCTAAGAAGCTTCACCTTAGGTATCAATTTCCACATCTGAGAAACCAAAACACTGAATTAGATGATCTCCAAAGTACCTTCCTCCTTTGCATTTTTAACAACTTCTTTTATGGTTCCAGGAATAATTTCTCATCTTACAATCTAAAATTCACTATTAAATTACTTACAGTCAACATTCTCTATTTCATAGAAATTTAATGTACATGTATGTTGAAGTAGCAGTCACAGTTATTTCATTGTTTGAGTGACTTTAATGAGGTGGCACATCCCCAACATGACAGCAATGTGCTTAAGTTACTATTTCAATGCAATTTGAAAACAATTTTAAGGTTACAAAACAGAATAACAAAAACTGCGTCTCCTACCTATCTGTTAACGGCGTGATCACAAGACGATCAGTGCATCCCAGAAATTCATTCTGATAAATAAAATCAACATCTGTAATAGACACCACAGTTTGATCCAAATCTTCCTTAAAATAAAATCTACTTTGTTTTAGCCATTCAAAATCAGTAGCTGATTTGATATGCATTTTTACCTAAAAAACATGAAATACAAAAAGGTTACATACAGAATCGTAATCGTATAAAACATAAGCATAAGGGACTTTTCATTCACTCTTTGGTGACTGATTCTCCTCATTTAACAAGTGCTTATTGAGTTCCTTCTTGTGTGTCACTGTGCTCAGTGAACAGAGACAGACATGGTTCCAGCCTCCTGCCGCTTAACAAAAAAGGGCAAAAGACAAACAGTCAAACGTGTAAGTGCAATACAGTATGAAAAGCACTACCTCCAAAATTCAGGGCCCATGAATACATGTAGCAGGAGGACCTACCCTCGATCAGGGGGCGTCTGAGAGGAGAGCTCAGAGAAACAAAGAAAAAAACATCTAAACTAAAACCTGGATAAACTGTAGAAATTAGCCTGGAAAATAAAACATAAGGGGTAATGAGTATGGGAGGAGAAAGTGCTGTGGGCAAAGGAGATCTGGTTGGCATGTTCAAGGAACCGAAAAAAGTTCAGTACAGGTGGAGTATCCAGGGATCTGAGAAAGAACGAGAGTTGACAAGGCTTTCTAAGGCCATGGGAAAGGGTTTGGATCCTCATGGCCACTGGAAGCCACAGAAGGAATGGATTGGCAGGGAAGTGCCTGAGCATGGATGTCCATGTGTCTTCCTGCACCAACACCACAGCCAAGCCACCCAAATTGCATGGCCACCAGCTGATGTGTGTGGGACGAGAGGTACTGGGCTCCCATGGCCATGGGTGCTCCATTAGAAAAGATAAAGCCAGTTAACAACCTCTAGGACTTCTATCCCAATGCAACCCACATTTTGAATTGCTTATGACTTTCTACTGGGTAACTTGGGAGAAACCCCAGTGATGCCTACTCAGGGAATCAACATAGGAAAGTGGCAAATGGTCCTCTTCACTGGTCTTAAATCCAGCAGCCCCCCTTCCAGCTCTTTCAGCTAAGACTAAAACATAGACCTGCGATAACCATACAATATTCAGGTCTCCACAAGACCAGGTCTCCAGACACCCTGCTATTTACAGTCTTCCATTTTCTTACTGTTCTTTATTGCATTGCTTCCCGGCCAGTGAAGGATTCTGGCTTCCCATCTAATACTCAGTTTGTATTCATCTCCTTAAAAAAAGCTACTTTCAGGTAACTTAGTCCTGCTGGCCGTAACCCCAGGGAGTCTATTCTCTAAACAGAACCCATAGCTAAGGAGATGCAGTCAGCTAGCTGCTTTCAACAATCTGTTAGAGTGACAAGAAGGAGGTGGAGGTGGAAGAAGAGAAGAATAGCTACTGTATTTATTGAGTTCTTACTATCAGGCTGTTCTAAACATTACACACATACTAGGGCTGTCTGGAAAACATCCAGCCACGTACTATGAAAAACAGAGACACGCATGGCTGGATACTTCCCAGACAGCTCCTGTGTTGCTGTATGCTGGCCACGAGGTCTCATTTTAGGTGGGATGCAAACTGAACATGAGCTCAATGGTGATTAAGACAAAAAAAAATTAAAAATAACCAGTTTCACAGTTTGCATTGTGTATGGGTTTCTTTGAATCCATTCTGTATGGAAAGCAAAGCTTTGTTCAGCACTTAATTTTAAAAGAAATTTCTTCCATCAGATTTCAGTTTTAGGAGACAGTAAGAGCTGTTTTGATATCCTCAAAAGCATATTTATAGCAAAAACAATAATGAATTCCACACTAGTGTTTCTTGAGGCGGACTTCAATGGCAGTCAAAGTATAACAATTGCAATTACTAGAAGCAAGTCTGCAGAGAGCCAACAGTGTCTAATAAGCAGCTTTCTAAAGACCGGCTTGGTCCAGGGAGAAATCCTACAGCAGTCTTTCTCAGACTTTAATATGAATACAAATAACCTGGGAATCTTGTTAAAATGCAGATTCTGATTCAATAGGTCTAGGGGAGGGGGAGGGAGGCCAGAGATTCTGCTGTCCTAACAAACTTGCAGGTGATATCAATGCAACTGGGTCAGCAGAGGGAGGATACAGACTGCAGGGGAACAGGTGGACTGACCCTGAGTCCTTCAGCTAATCTTCAATAGATATAATTTATCAGAACTTTGGACACAAGTTCAAAACAATCTGATCATATTCACTAAAATTGGGCCCAACCTGCATGAATTATGTATCTCTGATGAAGGAAAGCGATACCTTTAAGATGGGTCAGATCAAGCAGAACAAAGCAGTGGTAGTTAAAAACTGAGAGATGTCAGTACATCAAAACCACCTGGGGCCCCTAGCCCATAATAGAATCCCTGCCTTGCTCACAGCCACTGATTAGAGTCCTGCTTCCAAAGCAAATTCAAATACCACCCTTCTCACTATCCCCTACAGAACCTTGTCCCAGGCAAGCCCCAATGTCCTGCCCCACGCTGTCAGTGTGAGAGTTTCCTGAGGTTCAATTCCACCCAGCCTGGGCTTCCCTCCCAGTCAGCCCACAACCAATCCCACCTAAATTATATCACATCCTGGTCATTTGGTTTTATGGAACAATTAGTTGATTCATACAACATCAACTGATTCCAGATTTTTAGAGTGCCAAACAAAAACACATACAAACACAGTTGTTTAAACCACCTCGTATAGATATTTGTAGACATGGTATGGAGGGAGACAGTTTTGAAAAACGAACCAAGTAGATAAGAAGTTCATATGAGTTAGGTAATATGTGTAATCCTAATTATTCATTATTAATTAGTACGTTAAATTACTTTAAATTAAGAACAATAGATAATTTACCAAGTCATCAAAAATATCTCTCTGATGCACGTGGATGGTAATCAGAGTTTCAAACTTCACTCTGTCAAACTTGGTGAGGTCATGTGTCGTCTGACTGATGAGAGTATTCAGAATGTCCAAAAATTTCTGATTGGTCACCTGCATGATCTTCCTGTCATCTTTTGCATTATTTAAAGCCTCTTCTGAATCATGTGTCCACAACATCTGAATTCCTAGAAGACCAACCTAAAAATCCAGTAGAAATATTTAAATCTGCCAAATAGTTAAAGTACATTTGCAGTAAAATTTTGTGGTCACTTATTTGTATGAGGTGACAGATTCTATTTATTTTAAACTAAAAAAGAGACATACATTTCTCCATTTCTAAAGAGAGTAACAACATTTAAAGTTTTAACTATTAATATTTGATATTGATGTGGATAGATAAATAATAATTTAAATAATGGCTAACTTTTTCTTTTTGAGACAGAGTCTCACTATGTCGCCCTTGGTAGAGTGTTGTGGCATCACAGCTCACAGCAACCTTGGGCTTAAACGGTTCTCTTGCCTCAGCCTCCCAAATAACTGGGACTATAGGCACCCGCCACAACACCCAGCTATTTTTTGTTGCAGTTGACATTGTTGTTTACCTGGTCCAAGCCAAGGTCGAACCTACCAGCCTCAGTGTATGTGGCACCATAACCACTATGCTATGGGCACCAAACCTGGCTAACACTTATTGAACTTTATGTATATTATAGAAAAAGATTAGGAAACTTTTCTGTAGACAGCCTAAGCCTGCCAGGCCTGAAGGTACCAGATACATTCATGCAATGATTGTTCTTTCTCCAGAAAAGCAAATGAAATTAATGAACTTTTTTTTTTTTTTGAGACAGAGCCTCAAGCTGTCCCCCTGGGTAGAGTGCCATGGCATCACAGCTCATAGTAACTTCCAACTCTTGGGCTCAAGCAAGTCTCCTGCCTCTGCCTCCCAAGTAGCTGGGACCACAGGCGCCCGCCACAACGCCCGGTTGTTTTTTGGTTGCAGCCATCTTTGTTGTTTGGTGGGCCCGGGCTGGGTTTGAACCCGCCAGCTCAGGTGTACGTGGCTAGACCCTTAGCCACTTGAGCCACAGGCGTCAAGCCATGAACTTTTTATTATGTATTTTTCCTTAAGCAGGTTTTCTGAAAGTCTGTTTGCTCTTCTAAAAACAATACGCTGCCTATCTCCTTTCTTGATCTATCACTTTCTCTAACATCTGCATTTTGTCTTTCTACGTTTCCATCTTTATCTACAGAAGAGAGAGACAGAAAGGGAGAAGGGAGCAGTTAGTATCTTCTGTATCTTAATGAAGCCATAAAGACATGGTGGGAGGATGTGACCCTAGGCCTACAATGTCTGCCTCAGAAAAGGTACTGAAAGTATAAAAGTAGCCTGAACATGACCCATCCCCACCCCCTCACTGAAACAACTGTCCCTTGTTCATTCCTGGAGTCAAGCAATACATCCACGATTATTTGGAACAAAAAGAGAGTCCCACACTTACAGGGGACCAGAAGCCAGGGAGGCCACGTGTGGATGCTGCTTGGCATGGGTTTGACAGTGGGAGAAACCAGAACCCCCATTGCCTATCAATTTGACACTTTTCCTGCTGCCCAGTGGCCAATCTTGAGGTGCCCAGATAAACATAAATGAAAGCACCCAGCTGAAGTAAGCAACGGGACATAGAGAAAGTAGCTGGTGCTGGGAAACCCCCAAGAGCAAGCAGATTCTGGCCCTGATGGCAGCAGAAGGTGGCCCAACAGGGGAAAGGAGAAAAAATACAAAAGTAAAGCAGTGCACAGCGGCCTGACTTAAAGGCAAACAGACCAGCAGACCCTGAAAAACCACTGCGTGATGATACACATCCAAAAGCAACTCTTTACAATGATTACCCTGAGTCACCAAAAACAGTTGAAATTATGCTTTATACTCCGTCCAAGAAGGCAGGAGACGTAATGGTGAAAACTGGAGGATGTTTCATTAAAAACAAAAGAAGAACACTCATTCTCATCATTATTATTTCCTACTTTAAGAAGCACGTTAAAAAATACTGGACAGCATCACATGTTCTCACTCATATGTGAAAGTTAAAAAAATGTTGATATTGTAGAGGTAAAGAGGGAAACAGGTCACTAGAGACTGGGAAGGGTAGAGGGAAGAGAAATAGAGAGACGTGTCAAAGGAAACAAGGCAACAGCTAGACCGGAGGAGTAAGTTCTAGAGCTCTATACCACAGAGGATGACTGTAGTTAGCAACAACGTACTGCATAGGTTCAAATAGCTACAAGGAGGATACTGAAAGTTCCCAACACAAAGGAATGATAAATGTTTGAGATGATGAATATGCTAATTATTCTAATCTGGTGACTATACATATGTATCAAAACATCACTAAGTGTCCCAGAAATATAATTTAAAAGAGAAAAAAAAAAAGAAAAAGGAAGAAAGGAAGGGAGGAAGGGAAACTATTAACAGTCATCATTTCCAGGTGGTAGAAATATGGGACATTTTATTTCTGCTTTTATATTTTTCAAAAATTTCCAAACTTTTGCAGCAAGGATCTGTTCCATTATAATCTTTAAAACATATTTTACAAAAAAGCAGAAGCGAAAAATCTTGAACAATGTTAGATTCACTTAATAGTGGGAAAATTTCAGTCATTTGGAAAAACTGCTTTAAAAATAATGAATATATGCTAAAGAAAATCCTGACAGCAGGTCAACTTTCCTACCATATCCCGCTTAACTTTACCACTGTTCTGAACTTGCTCGCAACTCTCTGCGTAATGTCAAATCTTCAGTCTAAATTAGAGTGAGCCCCTCCCTCAGAATATATAGCAGCAATTTTCAACTGGTGTGCCGGTGAGAGGCTCTCAGGTATGCCATGGAATTTTTTGAAGATCATTAATTAAAGCACAGTAAGTATATTCTTTTTTGTTATTCTTTTTTTTTTTTTGATCAACATAATTTAAGTATGCCATGGAAGTTTAACTACAGGTTCAAGTGTGCTATGAGATAAAAAAGGTTGAAAGACACTGTTATATAGTGTCCGGCTCTCGTGGGACAGGGAAAATATGCTGATTTAGCTTAAGGAGCTATTTTCTCAATTTACCAAATAAAGTATTTCATAAAGCTTTACCACAAAGGTAATAATGCTAATAAAAACATTAAAGTTTACCAAGGATAGCAAACAATGCACAAAAATCACACTATTAAAATATTCTCTCCAAAACCCATTAATTCCATATTGTACTTATGCAGTGAATAATGTCGTATCATTCAGCTGTCTCCACTGTGTGCGCACAGTGGATTAGAATTCAGGTTGGGAGAAGAGGGTGGAGAAGAAACATAGTTTAGACAAAAACCGCCTCTGTTTTCCCTGAATATCTTTTGCCTTCTATCCTGTGTTCTCTTTGCCTCAGATCACAAATCATCACTTTTCATTTATCCTAGCTGAAAATGTAATGAATCCGCTGGCACCTGCTCCAACTGCAGACTCTCCCAGGTCTTCTCTTTTTAAAAAGTTAGTTGCATAAGAAGCCTCCTTTAAAAGATTATGCCAAGTACAACCACTCCGTTTTTCACTTTCTGTAAAGTATTCCAGAAATTATGAGGTGCTCAATTGTTTTTCATAAAATAGGCTCTATGTTAAATGATTTGGCTCAGTAGCTAATGTTAGTGTTCCCAGCACATTTAAGGCAGGCTAGGCTAAGCTGTGAAGTTCAGTAGGTGAGATGTATTTTCAATTTATAATGGGTTTATCAGGACATAACCCCATGATGAGTCAAGGACTGTTTATAAATACATATATTATGTATGTATTTACACACGCACACATACATGTTTCCCACAAGTGGTTTTAGCCTCAGTATGTGGCCTTAATAATGGGAAAATAGCTGCATATCCTCTTCCGGAGATGGGAGGGGGTGGCCTGGAATGGTACTGGCTGACAAGCAGGTGGCTGTGAGCAGAGGTTAGATGAGGGTGGGTAAGCCTCTCTAACTAGTTCAAAGCCACAGCAGCCTCCACACCACCAAGCTGGCCACCTGCTAAATATCCTCCCCCACTCATTTCCTTGTCTATTAAGCATTATTTAAACACTGTGTGTTCTCACCTGTGCTGGAAAATGGTTGAGGAAAGGTAAGAGTTGAAAACCCGAATCACTGATCTGATAGAACGCAGATCTGATGATGTTATGTAATGAGGACATCTGCATTTTTAACAATTCCAAAAGCCAAATCTCTACAGGACCTTTGGCCATAACAGAATTATCCAACTAAAATAAAAAATTATAATTATATTACAAACAGATAGTAGCTAGGTATTTTTACAAATGCCACACACTTAACAGATCAAAGTACCTCAATGCAAAGCAAATCGTTTCGTATTTCATATAAAATATTTTAAACGTGGGTAAAAATTATCTAATACTATAGATGGAAGGATATAGTATTAGGTTAGTATAGATTAGTATTTAGTATAAATGATAGCAGTTAGCATAGATTACCTAGCGTAGAACTTCCATGGGATAGATGACAAAATGAGTCCCAGAGAAGTAAAATGATTCACCCAAACTAGTTCATAACAAAGCGAGGGCTGTCTACCCACCTTCTCTCCATTTTTGTCCCCCTATAAATGAATTGCATTCGCCTCATCCAAAGTTTTTAAAGAGATCCTAATAATGAAATTCGAACCAAGCAAACTTACAACAATTTTTTCTCCTTCTCTTGATATGACAGCCAATATCCGATCATAGTCTTTTGCGTGAAATGCCACCTCATTGATGTTGTCGGACACAGCAGGCAGATGAGGCTGTCGGAAGACAAGACAAAGTGAAAACATCACACAGGAGCCACTGGCATGGGTTTAAAAGCCTTGATATTTTTTTTTAGCCTTGATATTTTTATTTAATTTATTAATACTTTATTTTTTCTTAATATTTTATTTTGTCAAAACAAACACATACTCTGATTTGACCCTTGACTGAGTTGGAGGTCCACTATTTAAAATCCAGCCCTACACATGTTTTCTACAAGTCTAATAAATGCCCCCCAATACTATGGAGATTGGACTAATGACTGTCACCTTCTTCCCGAAGGAGACTGGACCATACTGCCCCAGCCTCCCTGCCTCCCAGAGACAGCTACATCCTGCCCTCTCTGACTCTTTCTCCATCTTTCAGCTCAGTCCTGCCCTCTCTCTGACTCTATCTCAACCTTTCAACTCCATCCTGCCCCCTCTCTGCCTCTATCTCCACCTTTCAGCTCCGTCCTGCCC